TTGCAGATGACGGCAGCTCGTATAGATTTTATGACTGGATCGAGTACACCATTTCGCTAATTCGCCAAGCATATCGGCTCCAAGGATCTCGAAGGATACCAATCCATCCGGAGGCTAAACTGAAGAGGCAAGTACAGGTGTTTTACGCAAATGTGATTGAAGTGGTGCACCGCCCATACATTTCTCCAGTGATCTTGGTGAAATAGGTTACTGGAAAGTATCGTTTCTGTGTGAACTTCCGAAGGCGGATTGAAATTTCCTTGAGTCGTTTCGTTCCAGTGTTATCAGTTGCTGACATTTTTGATAGACTGCACTAGTCGAAAATATTCCTCGTGCTGCATCTAAGATCTGCATACTGGCAACTGGCGATGAAACGAGACGACCGAGAGTAATCGACTTTTACCATCGGTGTGAAATAATACCAATTTAAAAGAATAATTTTTAGATTTTCGGGAGCTCCGTTTACCTTCCGACGTTTAATACTGCACTTACTGAGTGACTAGGAGAACAGGACGGTGTACGGGGATGATGTCATGGTGTATAGCCAATCAGAAACGGAGCACAGCGCTCATATCGAATCAGTTTTGGAACTGATTCAGCTTTCAGGACTCCGTATAAATGGACCGAAGTCCCAGCTTGGAAAGGCTTGTGTCCTCTTATTGGGCCATAAAGTAGGACAAGATGAAGTGAAGGCATTACCTGAGAAAATATTGACAATGCAAGGCACCCCAGTTCCTACCTCAAAGCGCACTCTCAGAGCGTTCCTGGGCCATGCTGGGTACTTCAGCAAATTCATCAAGGAATTCAACAATTTGGCCTCACTTTGGTACGAGCTGCTGAAACAGGATAAGAAATTCACTTTGACTACAGAAGCCCAACAATCCTTTGATCGCCTTCTACAGGAAATGGGAAGGCAGTAGCTGACCTTGAAATTGCCCATTGCTGGAGAGATGTTCACGATTGGCCACGTATGCTAGCGATGTCGCAGTCGGCGCGGTTTTGAAACAAAATCATGTGACGATTGAGTACGCCACCAGAATTTTAACACCAGCGGAACGCAAGTTTTCAACCATAAAGTAGGATTGTCTCGCAATCGTCTGGACGTTTGTCAAATGACGGCCATATCTGTAAAGTCAGGGAATTGACGTCGAAACGGACCACAAGCCATTGGAATGGATTAAGTCTGCCAAAGACCCAGGGAAAAATTACCGCCATGAGCTTTGCGCCTGCAGGAATACGGTTTCACGATAAAACACGTGTCGGGAAAAGAGAATCAAACTGGATTTCTTGTCACTGTTAGGTCTCGAACGGCCTGCTCCAAGGAAAATCGCGTTGTCTGAAAATCAAGTCTAGTTGGCGCCACTGATTCAGGCCAAATCTTGTAACTTGGATGGAAAAACAGAATTTCCCACAGACCAAAGTCTAATGCGCACAAAAACGAAACAAATTGACTTGTTCGGAAAGGTAAGTGTACGATTTCCCACAAGGAACCGTGTGCCTTGCATCAGAACAGTCTCAGTTACAAGCAGACTAGTGTTTTTCCGTGTTGCAGAACATTTGTTACTATCGCTTGTTTCACACCACTCACACGTCCCTTGTTTCTTTGAGACATATAAAATCAAACGAGCACACTTCCGTGATTTGAACTGTATCAGTGTGTTTTCATCCCACCTCGGCCTGTTCTGTGTTCGCCTATATACTACTCGTCCAGTGGTTTGTCTTTTGAATCGCGTGGCACAGTCTAGGAAGCTGCTAAGTCGAGCCCTGAAGACACAACAGATTTCTGGCGACGGAGGTGTTGAACAATGGTCATTTCTTTTGAGCAGATGCAGCAGCTCCTCCATCAACAGCAGGCCGTTCGAGATCTAACAGTCACACATGATGAACGAGGATGACCTGCCGAGTGTGGCTTCCGGCCTTTATAGTTTACTTTTAGAGCAGGATCCGGAACAGTTGACAGCCGAGCAACGTAGTGACAAGCGTTTGCGCAAAGTGATCAGTGCATGAATAACCGGTCGATCAGTCGTAAACAAGAGCCCACACAAGCAGCTCGGATCGTCTGCGAGAACTCTTGAAAAGTTCCAAGTAAATGAAGCGGGAATCCTGATGTGGGATACAGGAGGTAGCAACACTTATGTGCCTGTTATTCTGACGAAACTATGATGGAAGCTGGTGACTTCTTGTCACACCGGTTACGCCAGGACCTACGATCTGCGACAATGCGCCTCCTGGCCAGACATGAAGAAGAACCTCGAGACATACGCTTTCGTGAAAGCAATGTCAGCTCTTGAAAACCGACTGCCGAGGAGCACAACAACCCATGCTGTCGATTCCGGTAGCGGAACTTGGAGAACTTGTCGATCGACGTAATGGGACCGTTTCTATTGACCAAGCGGGGCAATCAATACATCTTGTTGATGACGGAGCACTTTGCATTGGATTGAAACAACGTGGATCCCAGATCAACGGGCGACCACAATTACCCATGCCGTCATAAAACATTTGATAGCGGATCACGGAATCCCAAAGGCCATCTTAACAGACCAGGGTCCGTGCTTCGAGAGTGAGGAATTCCGGAACTGCTTGGAGAAACTTGGTATCAGGGAAGTGCGGACAACTCCGAACCACCCACAGACAAATGGCTTGACGGAGCATAACAATGAAACCATTAAGGAGTGGTTAGCGGCAAAGGGTAGATACTGGGAGAAAGCTTTGCCACTGCTATTGCTGATCTATGGACCATCCAAGTAGGCCTCCACAAAGAAATCCCCATTCCAATTAATGTGCGGCTGAGGACCTCCCCCATCTGTAGATATAGAGGTGGAATGTGGCCAACGTGCTGAATATCTCCCAAAGAGGCACAGGAAAACAAGTAGGCAGCCAACCGTAAACTGAAGACAACTCAGGCGCAGAGGATGGAGAAGCCCCAGACCAACAATGGTGAGACGATGGTCGAGTTTCAGATGGGTTCGAAGGTGAAATACGTGGACCATCAACGCGCTCTCACTTGTGGCCCAGTGAAAGGAAACTCATACTGAAGTGGAAAGGGACGTAAGCGGTGGTTAACCGGCCAGGCCCAGTGTATACAATCGCTCGGAAGAGGATTCACGGCGAGTGCTTGCCAGTAAGTTGAGTAAGCGGCACGAGTTAGAAGAGGGACCCTTTTCGTACATTGAACATCCCAGACGGTCAGAAAAACTTCGACTGAAAGCAGCTGGGCCGAGTACTTTGGAGGGGAGTAGTGTGTCGGACTAAAGGCCGACACTATTGCACCAGTTATCAGTATCCTGGAAATGCCTGGATGCGAAACAGCAACTGGCCAACAGTGGGTCGTATTGTCTCCCCCAAAGGAGAGAAACACTTTAGAACCACATTTGTATACGCGCGAGGAATGGACATACAAGCAGTGCACACCACCTAATCCCTAGACACAGAAAGAATCTTGCACCATGCGACCTTCAACAAAGACTGCGAAGATGAATGGGTGTCGTTTGTCGGAACGGATGCAATTAGTATTAGCTATTTTTGGCACAATAAATAATTCCGCTTGCACCACGGGTTCTTGCAATATCTAGGAAATATTTGGTTCAGGGATCGGTATAAAATGTTAAGTGTTGGTCTTGGAATCGGATCTCGGAAATGCAACGCATCAATTTGCATGAGCGTTCGGTGAGAAAATCACTATCCCCATTGCCTGCACATACTCGAAACTGACATTGAAATTTGTGTAAAGGGTACGACCATTATCAAAGAATGTAACTTGCGTGTGATCTTGGTGCGTGAGTAGTGGAATTTGCGTGAGCGGGGGTGTGCGAAGCGTGCAACCTAGTGGTTGTTGTAAAATCTTAGTTGCTCGAATCAATCTGTGAGTTTACCCTAGGAGGCACCGCCCGGAGCGTTTGAATTTAAAGCCTATTCGCTGGCAAAGCTTGCTGATTGTGGGTTGGTAAATTATCACTCAGTTCATGTACCTTTCCATTTCTGAAGCGGATCATCCAGAGGATTTGAACATCAGTCTGCTGGCATAAGAGATGCTCCACATATGTTGAGGCAAAGGGCACTGACGTTATTTAACGACCATTTACAACCGCCGTGGCGCGGTCATGTGAAGCAGACATTGTTTTTTCATGTAATGCTGCTGCCAAACTATTCGATGGAACCTTATATTCCACATAATGTTGAATTTGCTGTTGGATTTCTCCCAGAGAACTGTTTGTTACAGTCGGTTATTTAAGTATATTTTTCTTAACCATGCACCCACCTTCACCGGAAACAAATGCGATCGTTGATGAACTGGGGGTATTGGTTCTTCCAGCTAGGTTTCGCGGTTCAATTGCTTTATGAACATCATCCACAGTTTACCAACGTTGTGTTCTGGGACCTCGTAACAATTGACAGATCACCACTATATTACAGTCATTGGAAAGGTGGTCAGTATGTAAGCAGGCGATGGTTTGTTTAATGCGGGAGTCTGTCGGTTCACGCATCCTGGTCGTTCTCCGAAACTCGGTGTACTCCCAGTACAACTGTCCAACATAGGGACAACAGCACCACTCTTTGATGCCCTTTTTCTCTATCACATAAAAAACTACAGATTGTTATCTAAAGCTGTGCATCTAATGTTGTACCCCGCGGCTACAGCCCTTGTCTGAGATGCCTACAGAGTGTCAACCAATTCGGTGTTAATCGATATACTTGGAGCACGTATGCGGAATGATGCTTAGAGTCTGAAAGAGGGACGTGGTGGCTAACCTGATCAGGCCTCTGCCTGGCGCGTGAAACTGTCAGCTAGCACCTCGCTCACTATTTCTGTCCCACTTGCCATACGATATTAGCATTCAATTTCATTTGGTTGTGAATCCCAGAAATTATTGTTCATCATTGGGGTCTTCGTGTGTCCCAATCTGCGAACCCTCGATCTGACTCATAGTTCGGTAGTTTGCGCATACTTTTCTTGTATAGTTCGTTTGTAATTGCTCACTTTCTATTCCCAAATTCAGAACCCCGCGACCATACGTGTATGCATTGTGACAAATCATTTGCCGAGAAGAGTCATTTGGAACGCCACATCAACTCTGTACATTTGAGTACGTGCGCAATTGATACCACTAGTTTTGATCTGAATAAGCATAGTAATATTTTTCCGTTTCTCTGTTCTCTTGCGGAACTGTCAATTTTTCAAACCAGTTCGTTTGTGGTATATATAGTTGGCGGCATCCGGTTTCGGATTTGCCTGTCACCGTGGCCAGTCCCAGGACGCCTGCGCCTACAGAGGGACCATGGATGGCTTGCGCTGCACCACCCACAGCTCCATCCACACATACCATATCCAGTGTAAACCCGAAGGAATAAGACCGGGAGGCATGCGAATGGGAGCCACGTTTCATCAACAGAGCCGGCCCACACTCCTTCACAGGCAAACACAAGCACGCTGTATTTGGGGAATCAAGCGCAAACAAGGCGGTGGCTGGACCGTAGTCCGCTCCACACTGAGTGCACGGAACCACTCTTCGAGCTTAGCACGACCACAAGGACCGCGCACCCCGTCCCCTCCTCAAACGACCAACTGTCTCCTGGAGCCAGTATGGACGAGGTAGTGGGTAATAGACAGGTAGGCACCTTGTCAACATGCACATCAAGCGCAGCCACATCTGGGATGTCAAACAACAGCCAATCACTCAAAATGCCGATATCGAATAAAGTAAACGCATATGACGACATAAATACTCGCTTAATGAGCATATAGAAGAAATTGGTTATAAGTGAATCCGTGCTAAGTACAAAATGTCCAAGTTATTTAAAAAAATACCACGCGATAAATTACGCAAGTTTACCACAATTTGCATGAGCGACGTGTGCAAGTTGGGAGAAGATTATCAAATACGCAGAACAAACCATATATATATATATATATATATATATATATATATATATGACGCATAATCTGTGGTACAGATATTGTGCCATCGGAATCATGGCTCAATAGGAAAACAGTATGAATAATAAGAAAAGAGGTACAACAATGCTTTTTTGTCTTGTTTACCACTCGCAGTTTTTGATTTTTTTTAGTTTGTTCTTTTCTAGGGGAAGGGGACTGAGCCTCTTATATCGTTTGGCTCACATTTTCTGCTTTCTGGTTGAACCGTAGGTCGCGTTTCTGAAGCTTACAACAAACTTCCTGTCGCCTGGTATGTTGAGGTTAATAGCATTTTCGACACGCTTGCGTCTTTCAGATACAAGTACATTGTCCCATTCTCGTGACTGTCCTGTGCTTTTGCTCGTAGATCAATTAAACAGAAATCACGCTGTCAGCGACAAAATCCAGCCGCGAAACCTTTTTATTTTATTCATTCAACTATTTCTCTAATAATACGATTCTGTTAGTCATTGAGGATACAAGATCAGTAATGCTTGCTGAACATTTACATGCGACACGTTTATGGACATTAGGAGCTACCAGGTTTCGGAGGTATAGACTGGTGGTCGCTTTATGTTTTCGTAACTGACGCTTCATCATAGGTGCTTTTGCATAGGATACATCTATCGTTTTTACACTTCTTTCGGATGGGTGAGCTCTTCATGTGATTCCTGTCTCTTCCTTGTATCAAGGGTGGCGCTACTTTTGATAGAGCTAACGAGCATTTAGAGATTTATCAGTAGGATTTTAAGGCTTGTAGAACACATGTAAAGTACACGAGAATTAGAGTGTGGTACGAAAGGCCACCGTTTCAGTTCCATCGATCGATACAAACCAACCGGTTTTTCGAAGCGCGTCCACTTATCCGCCTATACGATGGTATGTCCCAAAACTCTGATCCCTAAACTCTGCAAATGCGCGACAAAGGGTCACTCCTTCGGGTGTGAACTAGAGCGCACTAAATTGCCAACTGTCCAATAGTAGATGTTCGGCTATCTCAAAATATATCACATCATTATCATCATTACAAGTTAGCTGGAGGTGGAAAACACCTCAGCTATTGTGCCGCAATACAAAAGACAAGAAAATGAAAAACAAACAGTGGCACGCCCGCTGATGGACATCGTTCCGGAGAGCTAACAGCTGGCTGCCGTAAAAGAGAGTCATATTATGCCTAACAAGGGGAGATCGTGATTGGATGGGGATGCTAAACAGGAGGGGGATGGGCAAAGGAACTCACAACACAAACGCCATTGGGGCAGGATCCAAGCCATATCAGCCAGTGTGTCCAACCAAACGTGTTCACCGTGCTTAGGACCCCAGCCAGGCAGTCGGGATGCACCAACCGACGCCAACTTCGAAGTGAGGGTTTTCATTTCTCTCGACCAAGTCATCACTTGGCCTCCTCTCCTCCTCTTCCAAACGCACCCACAACGCGCAAACAATGCACGTCGCGGGAGTCGGTGTGCTGGCATGCGCAACACGTGGCCCAGCCATCGGAGCCTGGTGCGTGATAAAATGGTGCTGAGCGGTTCACTCGCTCTTCCTGCACCAAACACGCGACGCCGAACACGCTCATTGCTCACGCGGTGTTCCCACCAGACATGAGCTAAGCTGCGAAGGCAGCGATGATCGAATGTGACGAGTCTCTTCATGTCTGTCGACCTGATGGGCCAGGTTTCACAGCCATATAGGAGAGTTGAACGGACGGCTGCGTTGTAAACTCTGCCCTTGAGGGCGAGAGTAATGTCGCGTCTGCGCCACAGGTGGTGGAGATTGGCAAAAGCACCTCGAGCTTTTGCTAAACGGTTCGTAACCTCATCTTCAATCCCACGGGTGCTAATATAGCTGCCCAGGTACTTGAATTCCTGAACGACTTCTAGCAGATCACCACCAAGCGTTAGCGCAGGGTTGGGTCCCTGCCAATCTTGGAGAAGTACTTTGCATTTCGATGGAGCAAAGCATAGCCCAAAACGATTGACAGCCAGTGCTAATCGGTCCAGTGCTGTTTGGCATGTTTGGGAGCTGTCACAGATTAGGGCAATATCGTCCGCATACTCCAAGTCAAGAAGTCGCTCATCAGGAAGTAGCTCCACACCTTCTAGGTCGTGTCCAGCGAACGCTGTTTCCATGACTTCATCAATAGCGAAGTTGAAGAGGAAAGGTGACAGCGGGCATCCTTGTCTCACACCGCTGGTAATACTGAAGGGTGGCGAGAGTTTGCCATAAACCCTCACTCTGCCCGAACTATGCGCATACAGCGCTTTGATAATGTTTACATATTTATCAGACACACCTTTCCTCAGCAGACAGTCCCAAAGGGCACATCGATCGACTGAGTCGAAGGCACCTTTTATGTCAAGAAACACGACGACGGTGGGCCGCCAATAAACATGGCGGTGCTCCAACACTTGACGCAATGTGAAGATGTGATCGATGCAGCCCCGACCTCGACGAAATCCGGCTTGCTCTTCACGAATCTGGCTTTCACGAGTGTCAGTCAGTCAGTGGAGAATGACAGAGGCAAGCAATTTAGAGGCAATCGAAATCAGACTGATCCCTCTATGATTGCCGCATTCTAAACGGGAGCCTCCCTTGAAAATTGGGACAATGACGGAGCGGTTCCAGTCTGTCGGAACTGTCTCCTGCTCCCAAAGTTTTACTAGCAACTCGTGTAGATCATCTATTAGAACAGGTCCTCCGAATTTGAAGAGGGCTGGGGGAATTCTATCTGCCCCTGCGACCTTATGCAATTTCAACAGCCTGATCTCACGTTCGACTTCTGCGCATGAGGGCGGATCCGAGGAGACGGCCCAGGGAGAAGGGCGGTCAATGCCCGAAGAAGAAAGCGATAACTCAGGTTGGTTAAATTGCCTTGCAAAGTGTTCAGCCCAACGCTCCAAGCGTTTTGACAAGCTGTGGATCGGCTGCCCACTCTCGTCGCGTATGGTCTCGCTAACACCAGGTCTCCTGCTGCTTGTTTCCCGTATCGGACGGAATAACTTACGATGATTACCAACGGCAGCGGCTGTTTCCATCTCAGAGGCACGATGAGACCACCAGGTTTCGCGGTCCTTCTTTAGGCTAGCACGTAGTTTTGCCCTGAGATTTTTGCGAGTCTCATTGTATTCGCTTCCAGCCGGAATACGTCGGCGAGCATCCATAAGTTCCAGACACTGTGTAGAGATCCATTGTCCGGTTTGGCAATTTGCTTTGCCACATGAAGACATGCCTGCTAACAGCAACGCTTGACGAATATGCGACCAGTGATCTTCAACGGTGTTTAGTGGGCGCTTACTCAGCCCAGATGTCAGCGCACTTTGGTACACATTCAGAACATCTGGCTTCGCCAGCTGACTGGTGTCAATCCGTTCACATCGACGTTGCGGACGTCCACCGAAACGCACCAGGAGGTCGGCACAGTCAAGTGCGTGGTCAGAGTCCACGCTCGTGCTCCAAATCGAGCGACCGTTTTGGACACAGCCTCTCCAGCGGTAACTGATCGCGATATGATCGATTTGCGTCCATGGCTGGCCCGAGGCTGGTGGCCGCCAAGTCACGCTTCTGCGGGTGCTGTGTCGAAAGTTAGTGCTCGCGAGAGAGAAGCGAGCATCTTCACACAGCTGTAGCAATTGCTCACCATTATCATTACGGGAGCCTACATCATGTTGGCCGCCCAGATGAAGCTCATCAGAGGACAATTTTCCGACTTGGGTGTTTAGATCGCCAGCCAACACTACAGTATCCGTGCTTCTTCTGTAACGAAGGAGCTCGTGAAGTTGCTGATAGAAATCATTTTTACCGAATCAGTGCTACAGTTTGTAGGGGCGTAGGCCGCAATGACAAACAGGCACCGTTTGTCCCCGCGGTAGTTCGTAGCACGGAACGAACCAGCTAATCTAACGGCGCACATCCTACTGTTTACTGGGATACAATCAATCAGGGTAGCTTCAGCCCGGGGACTCAAGACAATGCCGACGCCAGTTTGACCGGCACTTGAAGCTGCATCATCGCCAGACAGGCGCAATGAGAATGTGCCGCCAGTGTCGCATGTGCGGGATCTCAGGGTGAGCACGCAGCTCGAATCTCGCAGGCGGGTTTCTGATAAACAGCAAATATCGATCGACAAGGTGTGCGGGCAAGTGCTGCCTGTTGGCCAATTTGCAGCAA